CACGTCGTGCGGGAAAGGAGCTAAAAGCCAATGAGGCAAGGGAAGGAAAGGGTAAACCACCAAAACACATTACACACATGTTTTAGGTTAACTCGGTTTTCTTTCTTTTTCTTTTCCTTTCTTGTCACCCACGTATCTGAGGTCAGACGAGAAAAAGGGGAAGCAAACGGTGTCAACTCTTGTGGAACGTTCCTTTCCCCCCTTTATACGAAAGACACGAACGACTACCGGAGTGGAATATAATGTATAATGTATGTACTCCGTACACTGGCTGGGATGGAGACCTCGTCAGACTAATCCGTCTGGCTCGTGTGATCCTTCCACCGTATATATAGTTAACAACTCCCGTCGCTAGTTATGTAGCGAATACAGTTCTTGAATCAAGCAAGCTTTACACCTCCAACAGAGGTACCGTAGTCCGTCCGTATATCGGATGGATGAGATTTGGGGGGGTTGGAGGGTTGATTGCTTTGCTTCCATTTTTGCTCTATGTCCTAGCTTAGATTCTATCCGTTTATTTATTTATTTATTATTTTTTTCAATGGACTCCTCCTCCCAACGTGCCTATTATTGGCCAGGGTGGTTATCCTGCGCGCGCGCGGTGTTTTGCCTGCAAGGCGGATTTTTAGGTTCCTCTTCACTATATACTTATGAGCTATGTAATTGGGGGTCCATAGGTGGGGGGCATGAGTCCTTCCGTGTAGATGCTAATTAAATATAGATTTCTAGCATGTGTGTGTATGTTGTGTCCGGAGTAGGGGACTTCTGCATGGTTAAAGGGTTGGCGGGCCCAAGCCCCTATCCACTTAGTTACTGCTTGTCTACTACCCCTGGCCGCCCGGGGGGATTCCCGGGCCTAGCTAGTATTACACCCCTGATCGGCAGTATTGAAGTCAATCAATGAGATTGATGGCTTAGAATAAATGAAAGGAAAAAGTATGCTAAAGTTGTCTGTCTTTTAGATGAGGGGGATAACCGGGTCTCTCTATTATTTATTGTTGTTTGAAGAGGCTCAGTGAATGACTTGATTTCAATATTCTATATTCTCTGCTGTATAGTTACTATATTTTTGCAATCTTGATTCTGGAGGACTCCAAAGCTTGAATTTATTTTAGTTTATTTATTTACTTTGAAATGAAAACCATTGTCAACTGCCATATGCTGCTGCTGTCAGATGAATAAATTTGAACTATGTTGAAAGTTGAAAATGTGATCTATAAATAAAGTCTTTGACTTGAGTCACTCTTTGTTCTCAGAAACTCTCAATTCTTGCATCATGACTTTGCTTTGATATGAAGGGATAAGGTGAAATTCACATTGTCTTTCTATCTTCAGGGTTTACTCCTTACACTCATGAATCCACAGCATGAGGAATTAAGTTGCACTAGTTATCTCTCAATCCAGCTATCCTCTCATGCCGGTTCAGCCTACTAATAGGCATGGACTCAAAAAAGAAAAGAAGGAAAATAAATGTCACTTTGGAAAGATGGACAGCTCAGTGTCATAGGAGAAGTGTGAGCTGTCTTGTGGTGTCTATTCCATTATTCATTTTTTGGCATCAACATTTTGAAAGTGGAGATGTCCACCGTGCTCGGGTGATTATCATTATCATTATCATCATCATCATCATTATTATTACAGATTATTTTTGAAACTAAGCTCACTCTTGTAATCATCAGCCCTACATGGCCCATGGGTTCAAAATCCGGCCATCAGTCTCCCCTCTACTCCGTAATGAGGCCCACATCGCCAGTAGTCCACAGCGCAATGACATGGGCGAGCGAACAAATTGTTAGGTGTGGCAATCTGTTTGTGTATGAGAGAGATGATCATTCTGTCTGCCTCCTTTGCGACAACTTTTTCCTGTCTTTATCTTTCTCCACGCCGGTTCCTCGGATGGGATGGTCTGTCTGTTACAGCTTCGAATGCTCAGGAAAAAAAAGCACCACATGCGAGTCTCAAAGTTGCTTTTTCTTTGAAGGGTAGTCAGCCTGTTTGGCTATCCATGGACTCTGGATTGTGAATGGTCTTAAGCTCCTTGCTAACAGGGATCACCACCACAAGTGCAATGGAACAAGGAATAGCCTTGTCTTGCTTGTTTCGCCTAACATCAGAAGCTGTCTGGGAAGCAAAGATGTATCTGCCAACCCATTTCAAATTAGCGCTCAGTGAGATGGTACATATACATTATAAGAGGCTGCAAGATGAAAGTGGATAGCAACAATTAGTATCTAGCTATAGTGATGAGTTGATGGATTATGCGAGGAGGAATGTTTAATTTGTTGGCTAGTGATCAAACCCTTCTAACTCTAGTGTCCTACAACTTTTTCCTTGCTTTCTTTTTTTCCTTTTTTAATCCCTAACTGACATGGCATAGGTTTCTGGCTTCGATGACTTGGCGCTATCCGGTTAGTTAATGCTGCGGCATAGCTCTATCGAGGTTGCTACTGTGGCCATGAAACCTTCTCTGGGACTCTATTGCGCCTGATAGGTTACCTAGACAAGCCTGCATACTGCGTAAAGAGAACTTTCAAAATTGTAGGGGCTGCAAGGCGCCATAGACCACGCTAGGTGTAATCTACCCCCCATGACGTATTAGCCATATATTGGGAGACGATGGCTGGAGTGGGAAGACGCCCACTCGCATGATGCTTGAACCCTGACATTTCCCGGGGCCAGTGCCAGTCCTGACTAGCTTAGAGGGTGGCTTTCACAAGAGAGCTTCTCCCCCTACCGTGGGGATGGATGTTCCTCCATTTACTTAACGCATCCCTTGGAGCTCTGCCAAATGTTTTTCGTTTTGCCGAACTGGGCAGGATGGATTGCTTCCAGGGTTCTTCATACACTACCACTTCCGAACAATTCGTGGGAAACGGGATCGTTGTTTCACGTCCGTCACCGTCAGATGCGTCTCCTACGTGTCGGGAATTGCCTCAAGACATGCTACATGTTGGGGGATAGATATTTCGAAAATTGGGACATACTACTGAGCTGTTCTTGTGTTATTTGCACCAACGTTTCGGTCGTGTAAATGTTGAGATAAGTTACGTTGTTGGCTGGGTAAACTCCGTTGAAAACGGCGAATTAAATAACTAGATAAATGGAAAAAAAAAAAGAAAAAGAAAAAGAAAAAGAAAAAAGCGCAACTCGAGAACGAGCCGCATACGAGAAGCGCCATCATCATGTTTTTTCGGCCCTCCTTCTCCCTCTTCCCAGCGGCTTCCAGAGCTCTCCGGGTACAGTTGAGTCCACTGCATTGAAGTGGGGCCGGGCTAACAATGCAATGAAGTAACTAGACGAACGGAGAACGAGTCTGCTCTAAGCTAACGTGACTTCATCAGGGAGAGGGGAGGGGGGAGCGTATCGTATCAGTCGTTGGTTTCCATGTACGTTGTCCAGATCGGCTTCACCACACACAGGTTTTTCCCAACCACTGCTGGAGCGGGGCCAACTCAGATCAACGGAAGCTCACCCACTTCGAAACTCAAAATACCCTGTAACTTATAAGCGCGCTTGTGGCATATAAGCCTCTGGCCCAACAAGGGGCGTAAAAGGCACCCCCCTCCCCCTCCTTTCGAAATTTCCCGGGTGCTAGGACACTGAGGGCGATGTTTTTATTTTATTTTTATTTTTTTATTTTTTCCCTCTTTTTCTCGCCCATATTCAAACGTCACCAATGGGGTTTTGTCTCACTATTCAAAGGAGCGGTGTAAAAGGCGAGTATTTCATTCATCATCGGCCGAGCCCCATCCCCGCCTCATCTGTCAGGGTTGCCGTTTGTCGTTGCTGGCTGCCAGCTGGGTGCTGCCAGACCGACCGGACTTGGATGCTGCGGGGTCGTGTGTGTGGGCAAAGTCAGGAACGAAAATGAGTTGTGTGGGCAGGCATGCAATGGGTTCCGACCTGCCAGGCACGCCGGCGAGTGGCGACGTAGCGTAGGCTGATGGGCAGTTTCATGCACCTTTGTGCAGGGGAGGATAATCAACACTGGCCGACAAAAAAAGCAAATTCCAGCCCGCTGGTGAGAGGCGGCAAAATTCGGGTTTCGACAATGACACCGGGTTTTTTTTTTTCTTTTTTTTTTTCTTTTTTTTCTCCCCCAAAGTTCACCAGAGCCACCAGAGGTTCTTGGAAATCTCCAGTCAATTATCGAATTAACACCTGGTCTCCTCTCCCAGTCGCGTCTAAGGGACAGGGCGCTCTTCCCAAAGTGACCTCGCGCTTTGCGCAGTGGCCGCAGGAGCCTTTCTACCTGCCTTCTTGCTTGAGCCAATGGATGATGCTCCAGATCTGGCGGTTTTTCGAACATGTTCCTCAGAAGCATAGGAATGAATGTCCTAATGTGAAAATGGCCGGCTAGCTCCTTTTTGTCTTTATTTCTCATTCTAAATGCAATATTAAACTCAAATGAGGGGTTTATAAATTAACTATGAAAATTTATTGATCTCTTCCATCTGCACTAATAGTGATTAATGTACTCCTTATTGTACAGTGCAGTAGTTACAGTCTGACTGTCTCCATGCATTATTTATTGAGAAATAACGAGCAGCAATTATTATTATTATTCAGCCTCGATAAAAAAATTAAGAGGATAAACAGCTGCCAAGGTGGAAGTGAACACCAACCTCTAGCAAAGAGCTTTCCGAATCCACTAATCAGTGCGTCTGTTTTGGGTTCAATCGAAAGCTGCAGATTCGCAATACTAGAGTAGAGGCGGCATGAGTGAGAAGATATGCCCCCAGAAAAGAAAAAAAAAAAAAAAAAAATGAAAATGAAAATATGAAAAAATGGAAGGGGGGCCGGGAGGATAGAACCAGCACCACTCTGGCTGACAATAATATAAAAGTCATTGTGCAAGCAGGTCTTACGCCCAAGTCCCCCCTGAAAACCCCTAAAAAGCTCGGAATGCTTCCAGTAGGGTGACGGACAAGTCTCCAACCAAAATCCGGGCTACTAGCATATCGACTTATGACGCCAATCTCTCCCCATGGTCTTTGGCTTTGTAGATCCAGACAGCGCAGAGGACGGAAGTCATGGCGATCCCAACGGAGAAGCTGCTCGGACGAATATTATGTCTATTACGAATTATCCCCACAACCTTTGGCGGCAAAGAAGGCAACCGAGGCAACAGTGAGCCAACGTGGGCATATTAAGAACTTGTGGCCGAAGCCAATGTTTGAGCAGAAATCATATCATTATCAAATCCAAGAAGGAGAGAAAAAAAAAAAAAAAAAAAAAAAAAAAGGGAAGTTTAATCCCTGTTCAGGCTCAAAGCATGTTAAAGGGGTAAAAGTGGTTGGCATACATATCTTTAATTTTAATTTCCTCTTATCTTCCAATGCCAGCTTAGCCCAATGAATATTGTTCATGAAAACATAATGTGGACGCGGGCCAAGCACCACCAAAAATCCCCGCTGTAAAGCCAAAGCAGCCAGTGCTTTAGCGCAATGAAGCACAGCCTATTGCTAGTTGTGCACCGCTCAGCAGAGAATGCCGAGAAAGATTTTTGCTTCAAATAAAATTGATGGCCGAAATACCCAGGTTAGATTGAGTCACGGCTAATTTATTGGTTCGCCCTTGGACTGGTGTGTCGTGTGGCATGCTAAAAGGGAAATGCCCTAGCCGTTGTGCAGTGCAGTCAAAAAGGAGGAGTGAAAAATGAACAATCTGATAAATTCAAGTACAGTTGGACAAGTTGCGAAATAACGGATGTAAATTTTAGTGAACATGACTCGGAATTTGGCAAAGATATAGCGTAGTGAAGACCAGAGTCTGATAGGGCCTCCGAATATAGGGTTGGTCGACTCATGGATACTCTATTCGATGTAAAACCAGGCGCGTATCGACACAGAAGCCGTGCGGGTAAAGGTCTTCAGGGTCATGGCAATCCCTGCCAAGTACGCTTCCAAAACCATGCGCGGGCGTGAAAGAGTCTACTCAAATAGAAACGCAAAGCAACAACTCAGCATGAAGCGCACTTCCGCATTCTTCACTTGAGCATTCTTGTACCGCTCGGTATGAAACTCAGTTTTGACTAATACCATCTTCATTAGTTGCCTTGCTTTTGCTTGAAAGTTCGAGAGTCCATCTGCACAAGAAGATCCGGAATTCAACATCAGGGCAGTACATAGGTTTGATAGAAGTCCCAACTCTAACGTCCTCGCTTCACTTAACACCACAGTCCACTAAAGTCACCAAAGACGCGGTTCCAGTCGGAGCGCTGAGTATGACAGGGGTAGAGATCGCCGCGGGCAAACGTGTCTCATGTCCAGAGCGAAAGTGCTTCCACTTCTCACTTCTCTAGCTCCGTTTATGAAAAAAGTACAAGCCCAAGCGGAATTAAGAGAAATATGATATATCATCACTTGGTGAGTCGAAACCCGGAACACCATGGTCGACTTGATGCAAGTGTCTCTCCGGGTTGCTTCGGTGCCGTCTCCAGCATCAAGAGTAAGCTAGCATCCGCGCAGGCCATTTCCCAATAACCAATACCATTGCTAGGCGGAGTCGTCATGTTTGAGGTAGTCCGAGCGGGAATAAGGCGATTCAAAAAGGGAAATACCTCGAGGCTTAAGAGGCGGTGACTGACTCTGAGTTAATCCTATTACCACTGGGCATGGAGCGGCTGTGGCTGAGTGGTCGTTGTGGACTATTGAGCATCCATAGTATCCAATCTTCAGACGCCTTAAAAGACAGATGGTGGCCCTTTTGGACGCAAGTATCGAACAAATCCAACCCTACCGACATCACTCTCCCGGCAGCAATTCTTGAGTCCCTCGATACAACCCAACTCGCGGGAGATAATAGATTAATCCCCATCCAAAATCCTGCTGTCAAAGCATCTGTGGTGTTCCCATCAAAGAAAAAGCCATAGAAACGTTCGGCGTGACATCGTCCCAAGTGAGTTACACAACATTGAACCAATGCTAGTAGCACTTGCTGACGAGCCATAGCATGGAAAACAGCCAGCAGTCCCCAGAAAGCTTCGAGCTGGGTCTCCTCGAGCGTAGCCGTCTCGCGTGGGACAAACACCGGGTTGTAACTCATTGGCTGGAAAAGGTCGAACCTCACTCCAGCGCGAGAGGAACACGCGACCATGAAAGCGTCATGAATGTGACAGCTTCAACAGACCCTCCTACGGTGTCTCCGCAAGACAGTGAATTGGACACCAAAGGAAACACGGCGGGTTCGAGTTAGATGGTTTGACAAGGCCGTCCCCGTGATGGTTCAAGAACATAGACGTCAATATTCTTCCGTTTCATCGCAACACAAAAGTTACCTTCACATAGAGGAGTCGAAAACCGTACCGCCCGCTTTCATCGATCATGTCGTTTTCCTACATTTCAAAACCACCCCCCCTCCTAAAGCTAATTCACAATCACCCAACTATCGCTCGTACACGGCTTCGCTGGAACTGATAAGGGCCGAACTTGATTTTTGGATACTGAAGACCTATTGATAATATGTATCCGTTGTTCATTTCAATATCTCGGAACGATCTGTTGGCCACCAGGTAGATAGCAAGAGCAAGGCCTTTGCATGAAACGACAGAGCTCTTCACTGGCCGAGATGAGGGCGGCTTTGTTGAATATGTACCTGAATTATACCTCTGCAAGCCAGATAGCAAGAAATTGAACAATTTATGTCGGGATCATATATCTCCCTCCTCAACAAACGATATACCCTTGAATATTTGAAAGCACAAGAAATTTTTGACAATAGTAGCTGTCAGGGATCCATGGACCCTGTTACTTCCGTATTCTGCATTTGAAATTCACATGCCGCAGGAGTTTGGCAACATACTGAAGGAAGGCTGTCCCGGGTGGCCGCCCCGGCATGCATATGCCACTCATTATCAAAGGTGTCTCCTGCTCACTGCTTTGTCAATGTAGCACATACAAAACCCTAGTTTACCTGGATAGGTCGAATGAGTTGGCTCGGGCGTCCGATATTCTTGCTAGCAAGGGATCCTAGATTTATTAGTCGCCCAAACTAGCTCGAGAACAAGGCAAAAAGAAACTTGAGCAAATATGGTCAGTATATTTGTACGAAAATATTAGTGATGCAACTTCAGAATAGTTCATCAGCATCAGAGAGAAGATTAAGTATTTCGTCCTGGCCAGAAACCAAACCATCTTTCGAACTTCCTTCCCATGATGGGAGAGAAGGGCAAGAGAAGATGGATCTGGCATACGACTAAGGATGACGATACAAAGATTTTCATCATTGGGTTTGCTGCTCATTGGTGAAGGGAATGGACGTACATTGGGATGCCACCGCAGGTAATAGGTAAGTATAAAGGGCCCACACTTCAATTGGCCCGCATGGACTGTCCTCCGTTGAATTGAAACAAGAGCTTTGCTATATTTCCATGGTTCGCTACCTGGTTCCGCCATTGATGGTTCACAGTTGTGAACATTTGGACTATAGTTGGATTTTAATCGTCGTAACTAACCAGGCGTCGACCAAATGGATTCGTGCCGGAGGACGAAGCAGGTTTCTGAGAATGTCCGAACGTTGTTCCTTCGTCTGCGTACGCGAGTAGTTTCTTAGCACCCCCATTCCCATCCCGTATCTTGTTGTCTTCCGTTGACTTTCTATCAACATCGTGATATGATTTTTCGGTTCCTTCGAAGCCCTGTTGTTGATACTCTGATGAACCCTGTCCACCTCTCTTGGCTTCCGACCGGCCGGCACCGGCTAGAGGTTCCTTGGATGTGTCAGTTAGAGCTTCGACTTCAGCTTGTTCTCGATCAGCCATCTCTTTCCGCCTCTTTTCGCGCTGCAGCTTTTGGATTTCGCTGTGCCTAAAGATTTCGACTTGTTTATCTGTGAGGGTCCGTTTCGTCCCATCCGGGTAGTATCCGAGATCATCATCGCCATCGTCAAGCTGTTCGACATCCGCTACCGGTATCAAGGGTTGTACTGATCCATGGTTGTTCCTGTGAAAGAAATGGCGGGCATTGAACTCCTGAAGATCATGCTTTTCCGTCCCGTCCCAGTGGTCAGCTCAAGGGGATAGAAAGGGGGTGCTAAGACAAGCATACCAATGTGACTGTCGGGATCTGTTGTTGATATGACATAGCGATAGGGACTATCAAACCTTCCTTCTGCTTTTCAGGAGTATGGATAAGCCTGGCAGACTCGTTTTAAGCACAATTGGTCTTGTTGACAGGTGTTCGTCAAAACAAAGCGCCGGATCTATGGTGGAACAAAGGCGGTCACAATGGGGTCGGCTCCCTTTCTTCCGGCGCGCTGTCTCGTTTAAATAACTTCAACCTGTTCCAACTACCAACTAGTCCAAACACTAACCAGCCATTTCCTTGAAGTTCGAAGTCTGTATTATCATAATATTGCCCCTGGATAACTTCAAACTTGTCACCTTCAATCAATTGTGACCAGAGCTGAGTGAGGGCCCTGCGATAGCTTTTATCGATACTGGTAGCGCTGAGGTACTGGAGGCCCAGGTTCACACGCCCCCATATTATGCGTCAGGGGGCACTGATTTGCATGGAACGACTCCAACGGGCACAACCAAGCACCACCAATGCAAGCTTCAAGCCAAGGCCATCCAACAACTAGAATCGCATCCTTCAATAATAATTGCTCCGGTACTCCGGACGAATCCCCAGCCAGAGGTTGATCCAAGGTGTTTAAGTGGTTGGTAGACTCTGCCTTTGGCATGTGTCTTGCCAAACCCAGGAGGATATCGAAATCCAACCCTATTGCTTGAACAAGACCATCAATTGCAGAGTTTTTCAGGCCATGAACGAGGGCCAACTACTCGTTTAAATGGAATGGCCGAGATTTCCAAATCGTCGGTCGGTTTTCCATCCCGACCGTTCGCTTTTACAGCCCGGTGCAAGGGATTGATGCGCTGTAGCGAATCATGACAATAGTGCATACACCAGGGGCATGTACCAGTCGATCAGATTGAACGGCCTGTGTCATTTTTCTCGTTTATTCATACACGTCATATGTTATTTCTCGATGGCGCAACGACAATATTATATAACTATATAAAACCCGACCAAAACTATGAAAGCTACAGCCCGCAGAACCCACCCTCATCCAGAACCCCGGTTGGAAGTTCTAGATTATGAACAATGTTCCCAATTTTGAGCTTTACGCTGCCAAAGGGAATTCCGATTTTCTTCACTTTATCCAATTCCACCGACGCAACCCTCTCCTTGTCTTCCCTTGATGGTTCTGTGAGACTCCACGCGATAGATATATGGAAGTAATCCGAATAATCTGCTACAGCGACAGAAGAGGTTGTTGATCTTTGCTTTGGGGGCTTTTCTGTATTCCGATCACTGGCCCGCGTATATGCGGGGGCTGGCGTTTGGTAAAGGGGAGGCTGCTGAAAGGCAGCCAGAGACCGATTTGAGATCGCAAGTAGGCGATTCAGCTCGTTATTCGCCGGTTTCATAACCCGTAACACAAGAAACCACCGCGTCTTCTCAAAATTTGACACCCAGTCCAACCCATCGGTTTTCACATGAAACCTTTCAAAACTTATCAGATAATTTCTAAAAAAAGGGCAAATTCTACATCATTCACGCAATCTCAAGAGGTTTATCTTTCTATGTTTGTACAGGGTGTACCAGTACTTACGGACGAATATCAGATTCACGTAGAGCATCATTGAGCAAGTCTCGAAAAGGCTGCCTATCTTCCTTCACAAGCACAACAGGGCGTGAAAGGCTGATATGTAAGGGTGCTTGGGCACCAAGATCGCTGTACAGCAAACCATGAACTTTCAACCCGTTTTCAAGTTTCTGTCCACACCGAGCAATCACCTCTGCCAGAATAGCTATCTCTGCAGCCGCAGGATACCCTCCACAAACCCCAGCAAATCAGTTTAACGAACCCAAAAGAAGGGAGCTTCAGACAAGAAATGAAACCATGTACTCAACTCCTCTTGTCTGAGTCGCCCAAAAAGGCAAAAAAGGGCAAATTAAGGAAGAAGAAACAAGAAAAACAAACACCTACACTCGAGATAGATATGGGTGGGCCAGTTGCCAGGAACATGAGGCATCACTCGCTTGCGTCCATCATGAAGACTGGGGTCATCCTGGACACTAATTCGCGAATTACTTGCATAGAGATCTAGGAATTCGGAAGGCAGTGGGGGTAAAGCGATAGTATTCCCGCCACGACCATCGCCATCATCGCTGCCCGGTATCGTTTTATCAGTGCGCTGTTGCTTCAAGGGCCGCTTCGAGAGTTTCGTTGCCACTGAATTGCTTCTGGAGACGGGGTTGGTCTCTTCCGATTCGGAATCGGAGTATTTCACAAGTG